TTATCATCACTTGAACATCGGGGTGAATTATAATGAAGAGCTTATTCCATTTTTTTAATGTTTGGCTGATTTAAAGCCTCAACCCTCACTCTCTACACCCCACATCTGAGCAAGGTAATAAGAAAGCCTGAGTGCTTGCTCCTTTGTTGTCAGCAGGAGTTTCAAACCACACAAGCCCCTGCCTGCACACAGGAACTAATACCCCAGCCCTAACCCTAACTGCAATTAAATTCACAAGTCACTCTCCTTTCCTTGCTCTCTCAAGCCACTTTTGGACCAACTTGGAAGGCCTGGCTGCTCTCCCTAAAAGTCCCACTATGTAAGTATTCAATAATAAACATTTCCATAACCTCTTAATGTGTGTCAGCCGTCTTGACATCTGAACCAAATTTGGGATGTGGATTCATCCTATATCTGCAAGATGATTACAACTTGTTTGCCATGACTCTCTTCATGGTCTCAAGGTAACTTCTGCAGCTCCAAACAATTCATCCTTACTCCAGCACCCCAAGCATGAGGGCTCATGGTGAAAGGTTTTGACTTCATTGGTCCTCTCCCTAATCACCCAGAAACCTTTCCCTGAGAATCCCCACCCCAGCATACTTCCTGATAGGTCTCATTAACCAGCACAGGGTTTCATACCCACCGCTAAAACAATCACTGACAATGGGTAACAAGAGTGGCTGAGACCCATCATGAGATGCTCCTAGGGCTGGACACACCACCGGGTAAGCAATGGAAAGGTTCTATTAGCCAGGAAGAGAACAGGATTTGCTGTTGGTTATTAACCAATAATATCTGCCATGACATTATTGATATGGTCCCTTCTCAGATATTTTATATAAAATTTTATGTAAAATTAAACTGCATTTAAGTTCACCAGTGGTGGATTCTGGATGACTGCTACTGATTGGTTAATACCCTGGAGAGGCTAACAGGACATTTTATACTATATCATTGTGAACACTGTTTTCCGACTGGCTATTAAAATTTGTATTGGTTTTGGGCCTCCCCTGGTGGTGCAGGCGGTTGAGCGTCGCACTGGGAAGCTGTCCACAGCCTCTGCAGCGCCGGTTCAATCCTGGCCGGCCAGCGAGGGTCCCACATAGCGCGGCAGACCTGTCCTGTCTCGCCCGCTGCTCCCCTCAGCAGTGTATTTCGTCAGTCTGCCTGTTCTGTTCCCCGCTCTGTCTCTGGTGAATGCTCTCACCCTCCCGTGGATCTGGCCTGTGCCCCAGTTCTTGTATAAATAAATAAATAAATAAATCTTAAAAAAAAAATTTGTATTGGTTTTATAAAATGGACTGGAGAGCAATCCATCTTTCCTTATGGGTGACTATACATCTTTAACTTACAATCTGCATCACTAACTTATAACATACTTTTAAGGACTATACTCCTTTCTGTATAATGCGAGACTCTCATAAGGAATTGTTTTTGGATGGTAACCAAAAGAAACATAGAAATTTTAGCACAATCTTTTTGCAGTTGTATTTATAAATGAGACAGGTCAATAGCACTCTGTTTGGTGATATGTTTTTCACACTAGACATTATAGTACTAATAGCTATACAAAATGTTCTAGGGAGATTTCATATTTTTCTAAGGTTGAAAATGGCATGCATATCATAATTATCTGGCTTTAAAGGTTAAATAGGAATTGATATGAAATCATTTTTGTGCTTTTAATAACTAACTACAATCTAATTATTCTTCTATTAGTTAAAGTGCCCAAGTCCACTGTTCTCTATTCATCTCTTTACCCAGGGAATGTCATTTGAGTCCCTGGTTGTTAAATATCATCAATTCACTATTGATTTCCAATTTCTCATTTCCAACCCAATTTTTCCCTTGGCTCCAGACTGGTATATCCCAGAAGGCCTACTAGATATCTCCACCATGGTCACTAAGCATCATCACAAACCACACTTCTGGGCCTACCTGGTGGCACAAGGGGTTAAGATGCAACCTGTGAAGCAATTTTCAGCCACTGCAGCACGAGTTCGATCCCTGGCCAGGGAGCAACCCACATGGCACAGCAGACCTCTCCTGACTCGCCAGCTGCTCCCCTCAGCAGTGTATATCAGTCAATCTGCCTGTTTTGTTCCCCACTCTGTCTCTAGTGAATCCTCTTACCTCCTGCACCTCTGGTCTGTACCCCCAGTTCTTGTATGCATAAATAAATAAATCTTTAAAAACAAACAAAGCACACTTCTAAAACAGTACACTTGCCTTTTCCTTACTTCCTCCAGTCTTCTCCATGTCAAAAATGGTACCATCAGCTTCCCACCTGTTCAAGCCTAAAAGAAAGGGGTCACCTTGTCTACTTTCTTTCTATAAGCTATTACCCTCCACCCAAAAATCTTTAGTATGTATTAATTTCACTTTCAAAATACATCCTCAAGTCTCTCATCTGTGTCTACATCCATTAACACCATTTCAGACAAAGTCAAATTATAGTCATTTCTTGTTTGGTCAGTATAACAGCTTCCAAATGGTTATCCCTATTTATTCACTTGATCCCATATAATCTCTATTCTATGCAACATGCAGAGTAAAACTCCAGATCTGATACCACCACTGAAAACACTTCAATGTTGCCCCCTCATGCACAGAATAAAACTCAATTTTCCTTTTTTTTTAAAGTTTTATTTTTATTTATTTATTTATACAAGCACTGGATACAGTCAGAAGAGCGGGAGGGTGAGAGAATTCACCAGAGCCACAGCGGGGCAGAAGGACCGAAGTACACTGCTGAGGGGAGCAGCGGGCAGCAGAAGAGGTCTGCGCGCCATGTGGGACCCTCCTTCGGTGGCCGGGAAGCAGCCGGGGATCGAACCGGTGCTGCAGAGGCTGTGGGCAGCTTCACAACCCGGCGCTCAACCGCTGCGCCACCAGGGAGGCCCAAAACTCAATTTTCTTTCTTTTTTTTTAAGATTTATTTATTTATTCATTCATTCATTCATTTTTTTTATTCATTTATTTAATTATACAAGCACTGGGTACAGTCAGAAGCGCGGGAGGGTGAGAGAATTCACCAGAGCCAGAGAGGGGAGCAGAGCAGGCAGAAGGATCGAAGTACACTGCTGAGGGGAGCAGCGGGCGGCAGGAGAGGTCTGCGCACCATGTGGGACCCTCCTCCGGTGGCCGGGGAGCAGCTGGGGATCGAACCGGCGCTGCAGAGGCTGCAGGCAACTTCGCAACCCAGCGCTCAACCGCTGCGCCACCGGGGAGGCCCCAAAACTCAATTTTCTTAATACGACTTCTGAAGGCAAGCATGATGGCACTTGAGACCGTGTTTCCAACATCATCTTGTAACACTCACTGCCTAATTTACCATGCTGTTGCCACACCAGGATCTTTCTATTCTTTGAAGATTCTAAGCTTTTGTACACCAAGACTTTTGTCACTGGAGTTCTGGGTCTCACCTCCAACACTGCTTCCTCACAAAGAACTTCCTCATGCTCCATCTTTATAGGGGACAATCTCAACCCCCTGTGCAATCCTTTTCTCACATCAGTTTACATATTAACTCGATGACACACATCACTACTTATAATTGCCTTCCTTACTTTTTTCATTCATTATTCCACCAATGAGATATCAATGACACGAGGGCTGGGAACTTTTCAACATTTTTCCATCATTTTTTGTCAAGTAAACATATCGTGTGTTCAACAGCTATCTATTAAAGCAACAAAAATGTATGGCTCTGATGATGGGCAGACAAGTATAAATTGGAAATAGAGATGAGAGAGAGGTAGTGTTTACAATTATGAGAGTGGATAACCTCATCCAAGGAGAGCGTATAGAATGAAAAGCGGAGGGGTCTGAGGACAAAACTGGGGAAACAGTAATGTTGATGCCTAGACAGAAGAACAAACAGGTCGGTGAAACCAAGAAAGGCAGGCCGGATGGATAGGCAGAACATCAATAGAATTTGACATCACAGAAAGCAAGACGGGATGGAGTCGAGGAGAGAATGGTAAACAGCAACAAACCCTACTGGAAAATTGAGGTATAACTGACTTTCAAAGTATCCACTGTCTTTTGCAATGAGGTTAGGCCTGCTGGCGACCTTATCAGAGAAAAGTCAGTCAAGCTTTGGAGTGTGAAAACCAAAGTGCAGCAAAATGTGGACTATTCCTTAACAAGAACGGCGAGGGCCTAAGGTTGAGAAGGAAATTACTCTAAGCACAGAAGCAACCGGAACAGATTTACTGTATGGAAGAGAAGTATCCAGCAAACAGGAGAGCGGGGAGACGCGGGACATAAAGGGGAAATAAGATGCTTCAAGTCCCTCAGGAAACAGAATGGGAGGGACTGGGACCTGGAGCAGGAAAATGGGGTGTGGGAAGGAAAAATGCTGGACTTCGTGGCTCGACCACTTGATTTTCTTGAGGATGGACCCCAGGCATTAGGGCACCCAGCCTACGGCAAAGCCCCCTTCCCACCTCACTCTCACGCCGCACGGGCCCAGGACCCAGCGCCCAGGAAGCGGCTTCATGCTCCTCCACCTACTCCAGGCTCCTCCGTCAAGAGGGGTTCAGGCTAAAGTAGGGCGGAGCAGGAGGTGAGAAGCCAATCACTCGGAAGCCACCGCTTACCATCCTCTCGGTGAGAGGAACTCCAAGCTCCTCAGCTTAGGATGAGTTTGAAAGAGCACCTGGTAGTTATGGGAGAGAGCACTGAGCCCTCCCCCCCCCCCAAAAAAAAACCCAAGCACCCACTCACCTCCAAGAAATGCATCCCACGCCTCGCGATGTCCTGCTGAGCCCCTTGGGGTAAGAGTGGTCTCTGGACTGACCAACTGCAGTTCCCAGCGCAGTCGCCAGGGCGGCCTGCCGGGAGCAAGCCGGCCCCAGGAGAGTAGGTTCCGCGCAGCCTGCCAACCTGCCCGCATGGGCAGGGGCCGCTCCGCGGGGGAGGTTGGTCCCAGCACACCTTGCGACTCAGGCTGCATCTCTGACGCCCTCCCGCCGGCCGGCAGTCGGGGTTCGCGGCCGCCTGGTCCTCTGTTAGGAGCACGCCACGCGGATGAGAGAGGAAGGAGGCCGGGAAGGAGCCGGGACTGGGCAACGCTGCAGTAGGGCCGGGCAGGGAGGTGAGAAGCCAATGGTTGCCAGCCACCGCTTACGTACAGGCGGGGCAGAGGACGGGCTGACTAGGCCGCAGCGGCCATGGCCTTGGGCTTTGAAGGCCACAGGATAGGCTTCGGCCACAGCGAGGGCGTGGGGTTCATCTATTTAGAGGTGCTTAGTAATAGCGGCGGCCCGGACTTCTACGAGGCCGTCCCCTCGCGGTCCTGGAATGAGATCGAGTGTTGCGATTCCTCCTGGCCACCCCGCGGTGCGTCAGGACGGCGCGCTGGCCTTGAGCATGCGTGTGGGGCGCGAGCAGCGGGCGCTCTGGGTGCTGGAGGAGTGCGAGGCACTTCTTGGGCACCGGCCGCCGAGCTCCGGGGGCTGCTAGAGGAGCTCCCGGAGATGGCCTTGCAGCTGCTGGCCGAGCGCAAAGTGCTGTACAGGCAGCTGCTCCATTCACACAGCCGCTCCCGGGCCATCCCGCTGCCCAAAGAGGTCCCCAGGTGCAAGTGGAGCAGCTCAGGATTTATGGGTTGCCCATGGGTGCAGAAAAGTGGAATGAGGCGCAGGCCACAGAGTCGCTGAGTGGGCAGGATGTGGAATCCAAGATGGCCTCCACGCCCGTGTGCCTCCTGTGCTGGGACCCACACCCCTAGTCCCAGGGTCCAGATTGTTCAGTCCCCTTTGCCAGTGCTGTTCCCCATCCCATTCCCAATGGCATTTTCATTCCCATTCCCACCACCTCCCCACTCGGAGTAGTGGCAGAAGTAATGGTAGGAACAGCATAGCCACCCAAAAGGGGGGTGGTTGGGGGGTGGCTCTATGTACTGAAGTGGAAGATGTCTGAAGTTATGTTGAGATAAAGCCTCAAACTAGACTGAAAGTTCCAAGAAGTAACTGATAAATGTTCTTAAGGCCACATACCTGACTTACACCCAGATAACTGCTTAGGATAACTGCTTCTGTTCTCCCTGCTTGCTTTAAAGTGCAAAATGTACCCCTGCTCAGTAAATAAGTACTCTGTTGCCTAATTGCTTGGGGCTCAGACTTTGGAGAAAGATCTCTGGGTGCACCAGCATGAAGACTTTCCCTCGTCTCTGAGGAGCCAAGACCAGAAGGAAGGCCCAGTGAGGTTGCATGTCATAACCCCCACTGGCCCCAGCTTGAGCCAAGGAGACCTAGGGGAGCAACCACCTCAAAAGGTAAGGAAGCCTTTTTGAATCCCAGCAAGAGGAGAAACCTGCCCCAGACCTGGCATTGCTTATGGTGTAGAGAGAGGTTAATTTTTCCTGATGCTCGACTTACTATGAATGCAAGAAAATCTAGATGCCAAGTGAGGTGGGCAGCTTTGACCCAGAACAAGCTCCTCAGTGAATTCAGCGATGTAGAAAAAGAATGGAAACAGATTCCAAGAAGAAATCCATTTCTAGAGGCTTCTTTTTAATCAAAAACTCATACTTGCATCATAGAAAACTTGGAAACCCATCAAACAAAAATGTTCATAATCTCTCCATCAAACAACTTTTTAACATATTATATCTAGTTCCACATATGATCTCTCTCCCCCACTTTTATTACACATGTACGTGTGGGTCTATAATGTGTATTGTTTTAAAGATGAGTCTGTTGAGTACACTTTAAATCTTTTCTTTAAGGAAAACTTCAACTGCATTTATGTTCACACGTGGTAGACTGTGGTTGACTGCTACTGATTGGTTAACATCCTGGAAAGCCCGACAGGGTGAGACATTCTCTTTTTCTCCCTTCTGTATTCTCCTTAACCTAATTTTTCCCATAATACCAGGTCTTTGACAATAGCCTTGCTTTTAGAACACAAAATACATTATATGCTAGGAACTCAAACTGCTTTTCCTTGAGAATGCCTTTGTTATGCTGTAAACTGCAGCAGTGGTCATAGTTGTTTCTTGGTGTGTTTTTATAACATTCATAGGCCTGTTCTTTGTGTCTCTAGGCTCCAGGAACATTGTGTGAAACTGAAGAAGCTCCAGCCCACAGTGTGTGAACCGTCACGAAATACCCTTTTGGCTCTCAGCATCCTTCACCTCAGTGAGACCTCAGCTGGCTAGAGCTAAAAAAGAATGTGAAGGAATCAGGGAAAAGGAGATATTCTGTCACATATCCTGAAAGAAGGGAGAGCAGATTTTGTTAGCACTTCATCCTTCTGTTGGGGAAGAGGGTTTGACATCAGAGTTCAAAAGGGGTTGGGGGGAGTGTTGTTAATTTTTAGAAGTTATAGCATGTTTGTTGCCTCATTCATTAATTCAGTGAACAAATAGCTATTGATTGCATTGTATATGTTAGTAACTACAATTATGTTGTTATCTGGTGAACACATTATATATAACCCACTCTGGGGAGTTTGGTTACATTTCAAGAGAGAGCTTGATTTGAGATACAGTATAGACCAGGGGTGTCTGCTTTGCCTAGCATGCAGAATGACTTTGGGTGAACCCATTTGAAATAATGTCAAGATCTTGGGGCCTCCCTGGTGGCACAAGGGGTTAAGTCTCAGTGCTATCAAGCAATCACCAGCCACTGCCACCTGAGTTCGATCCCCAGCCAGGGAGGTGACCCACTCAAGCCTCAGCTTCCAGCCAGCACCTTCTCAAGTCCCTTTCCAGTCAAGAGTGGACAAAGAGCAAAATGGACTCCATCGTGCAGTGGATGGGGCTCCTTTTGGGAGCACTAATGGGTTAAAAATAGAACTGGACTGGGGCCTCCCTGGTGGTGCAGCGGGTTGAGCACCGCACTGTGAAGCTGTCCATAACCTCTGCAGTGCCGGTTTCATCCCAGCTGGCCAAGGAGCAAACCACATGGTGCAGCAGACCTCTCCTAACTCACCCACTGCTCCCCTCAGCAGTGTATTTCGTCAGTCTGCCTGTTCTGTTCCCCGCTCTCTCTCTGGTGAATCCTCTCACCCTCCCGCACATCTGGCCTGTGCCCCATTTCTTGTATACATAAATAAATAAATCTTTAAAAAAAAAATGGAACTGGACTGGGACATGCGCTCTAGAGACTGCTCCGGCCTTCTCATCCATTTGGTGCGTTCTCTGCAGACTCACCTTTCCGAGGGGCTGGGAAGTTAGACCTGCCTCCTGTCTGAACTGTCCTCAAGTTCCCCCCATGAGATCCCAGGTCACCAGGCTCACCCTTTGTCGGGGGGTTTCTGATCCTAAGTAGTAATAAAGAGCGTGTGCACTTGTCTGCTGTGTCCTCTGCGTGGCGTGTATAGTGGGGCCGGTTGCTCAGAGGTGGCAGCTTTAATTCCTTGCATCCCACTGAGGTGAAAGAAAGTTCAATCTCATTCACTAGTAGGGGGCCCCTCCTCTGCTGAGAGTTACCCAAGTTGGGAGGAGGGGCCTGGGTGTGGCCTTCAGTCCTTGTGGATGTCCCTGCTGCTCCCACTGTCCAAATCCTGTGGATTTGTGTGTTGCTCCTGGGCCCGCGGGGCACGAGAGTGAGGTGGGAAGGGGGCTTCTCCCTAGGCTGGGGGCCCTAATGCTGGGGTCCAGCCTCCCTGGGCACCAAGAAGCCATTTATTTCCCTGAGGCCCTGTCTCTGAGTAGACACTCCTGCATTTCCGCCCCGCAAGGCAATGTCCTCTTGCATATGTAGGATCCCATCGAGGTGCTCACGATTCTAGAAAGCAGCAGGTGTAGGTCTGCTAACAAGGCGTGTGTTCTTGGAGACAAAGGGGACTAGAGTCTGGCTCCAGGCTTGGTACGGGGATGGGGATGGAACAGAGAAGGCGTGATCCTGCCCCAACAGCTTTCTCCTTCAGATTTCCCGATTAACCAGGAGGTCTTGGTCACTTGGGAGGGTCCTGGGGAGGAAGAAGACCCTCAGGCACATCAACCCAGGGCTAGATTTTCTGGGTTGGGGGATGACTTTCTGCTACTCCTGTGTGCCGATAGCTTCCTGGAAATCTGGGAGGCTGAGAAAGATGAGACTTGGAAATGTTATATTTTAATCTGGTAGTTTGCAATGTGTGGTTTTGGGGCCAGCAGCATCAGGATCTCCCGGGAACTTGTAATAAATGCGAATTCTCGAGCTCCATCTTTGACTTAGGGCTACAACCTAACTTGTGCTTTGCTGCCTGCTAAAGTTTAAGAAACTTTGTAATCTATAGTGTAAGAGGAACAGGTCATCCTAGATTTCAATACCCTTGGTTCATTTGGAACTTCACAACACTTTGATGCCCACTAAATTCAGATATGTATGAAAGCAGATTTGTCCCTTCTGTAGCGCGATGTTTCAGAGCTGATTTTTTTTCATTGCCACCTGCATGAATAGTGGCCAGAATCACTGAGTTTGCCTATCAATGATCCCTGCATTCTGGGCCCGGTACCTGCAGGTAAAGGTAGAGTTTTTTTTAAGTAAGATGGCCTGGATTCATTTACTGGCTCTGCCATTCACCAGCTGTGTGACCTAGAATGAGCTATTTGAATCTCCCCGGACCCCCAAAACATTTGAATCTCCCCAAATCCCCTTTCTCCTGTTCTCAGGGTTCTGTTTTTGTCATGATGGGGTGATGGGTATAAAGTATTCCCATGAAATGCCTACCCAGACCACTGAGTGCCTCTTATGTGACACTTCGTGGCCATTATCACATTGGGGACCATCATGGCTCTGTATAGATATAATAGATTCCTCTATTAATAGTAGTTTTTCAAAGAGGGTATTTTACAGATGTGGCAACTCAATAACTTACCCAAAGTCATCCAGTTGGGAGTTGGTGAAGTGTGGGTTTCAACACAATCTGTCTGTTGCCAAACTCCATAATCTTTCTTACTATAGCACAGTGTCAACCTTTTACCCTTACCAATGAAAAGCAATTAATAGGCCCGATCAATACCTTGACTGATAGATTTGACTATGGAAGGGCTTTGAGTCATAGAGGCAGTCCGGTGGAGAGGGAAGTGGGTGGAGATGACAAGAGTCAGGCTTGGCTGCTATGGAGTGTTGGTGCTAGAAATGAAGGCGCTGGAAGAAGAGGCCTGTGGACACAGCTCCTAGGGGCATCAGCCTGGTGAAACCTAGGAGGCAGGGATACAGAAGACAGAGCAGCAGGCGGTGCTGTTTATATACATACACACATAATATCCATCCATATCCAGACAGGATATGTCGTTTGTTTTTGTAACCTCTTCAGCTGTAGTAGTGGCTCCAATCTGACCGCTGCTGTGGTGGGCTCTGCACCCAGCATGCAGGAAGGTGTCGGGACAGAGAGAATCACGTCTCAGCTGGCAGAGGATCAGTTACACAGATTTATTTACCAAAATGGAATAATGGTATATAATTTCTTCCCAATGTGTGTTTTTCACTTAAACAGTAAGACACAAGCATAGTCTCATATTGATACTGAAACTGTATTTTAAATAGCTATGTAACATTCTGTTGTGTTAGGGTTTCAGTTTATTTAAGTAGCTCTGTCTTTCTGGGCATTAGGATTGCTTCCAAATCCTTTTTACTCTCAGCATTGTGACCATATGAACAGTTTTCTGTACCATGGCGAAGAGGAAAGATCATTAAAAATATCTCAACCTGTTTAAAAACACCTTGTTGTAATTTCTATTTCTTTGCTTACTAACAAGATAGGGCCTTCCCGGTGGCACAGAAGTTGAGTGCTGGGTTGCAAAGCTGCCTGCAGCCTCTGCAGCACTGGTTCAATCCCCGGCCACCAGGCGAGGGTCCCACATGGCGCGCAGACCTCTCCTGCTGCGCCCGCTGCTCCCCTCAGCAGTGTATTTCGTCAGTCTGCCTGTTCTGCTCTCCGCTGTGGCTCTGTTGAATTCTCTCACCCCCCGCGCTTCTGACTATACCCCAGTGCTTGTATAAGTAAATATATATTTTTTAAAAAATAGACCATTTATTTCAAATTAATTATCCATTTGTATTGTGTCATGATTTAGTGATTCACATCCTTGTTCAAGTTTACTCATGGAATATTCATCTTGTTTTGCCAGTATTTATTTGATAGTAAGGATATTAACCTAACCCTTTGTCATACTTATGATTGCAAGTATTTTCCCTTGTTTGTAGTTTATCTTTAAACTTATGTCATGGAATTTTTGATTGCCAGAAGTATTACATTTTTCTATATTGAAATATTTTTCACTGTCATTTTTTCAATGTTTCATTCTTCCCCCATTGATCTGAAAAGAACATCTTGATCAAATACCAAACACCACACACGTTTGTCTTTTTTGTTAAACTGTCGGTCTATTCTTATATCCATCCAACATTTGATTCTAGATTTATAACACATAGTAATAAATGCAGTGAAAGATTACATTATTCACATTTTTCTAAACTTTCCTGGTAGTCATCACCTATTCATTCTTTGTTGAAACTTTATGATTTAATTCTATTCCTTTGAGCCCCAGATGAACTTTCTTCAGTTGGATTTCATGAGATTTACTCTATAAGTTCATAAATCATTGCTTTTTTTAAAAAAAAATCTATTCTGAATAGATTTCTGTTCCTTAAGGTTTTAATTCAGCCCTATTCTTGCTCTTCACTTCACTATCTAATCATTTGACACCTATCACCTTTGGGAAGGAGAGCCCACCTATATCATTTTTTTTTTAATTCATGTTTATTGCTTACTGTGTATTTGGTGGCATTATCTTATTTAATTCCCTTTAAAATCCTACAATAAAGTTAGACATATCCTCTAAACATTAAGATGGAGAAATCTAGGCTTAGAGAGGTTAAACAATTTGTCCAAGGTCATACCACTGTGCAGTAAGAATCAGGATTCAGATTCTGTTCTGAAATACCGGCCGTGCCATACTATAACATGTAAAATAAGGAAAAATGAAAAAGTGTCCTCTCTGCTTTAAAATTGAAAATTATAGCAACCATACAACCTGTTTTTTGAATTATAAATGACATAAGAACCAGTACTTAAAGGAAGTTGTAATGGCAGAGTACTTAAGGGTATCGGCTCCAACTGCTTGGGTCTGAATCCCAGATGCATTCACAGATTAATGAGAAATACTATAATGCATGTACAGACTCTACGGTGCCTGGCACATAGCAAGTCTACTTTTTTTTTTTTACATTTTAGTGTTTTTGATACCAGCCTCTCACAACCACAGTTTAATTGGCAGTATTTATCTTAAAATTGATGGCATCTTCTGATGAAACAAGTATTAAGTGCCTACTATGTTTACCTGTTATACAAGACAACCACTCATCATTCAGCAAATATTTGAATTATGAGCACTGGAGTAGCATAGTAAACTCAATACCAATGCCTGTTCTCATGAAGTTTACCGTCTAGTGGAAGACACACATGACAACAGATGAATAGGTAAAACACATAGTATGGCAGATGGTGATAGGTGATAAGAAGTCAGAGTAAGGGGAAGGGGAGGGACAGGATATTATTTTAAACAGGGTGGTCAGGAAATGCTTTCCTGATTTGAAGACACCCAAATAGATGAGAGGGTGAGCAGTGAAGACCCCTTAGTCTTTGAGAGTACCAAGAAGGCCAATGTGGCTAGAGTGAATACCATGAGGTGGGGGAGGGGGCTGCTGCAGATGATAGCTGGAAACTTTTAAGTATGTGGGTAAGGAGTACTTGAAATTCTTTCAAAAAGGCTCTAGATCTGGCAGTAGGAACTGCGTGTTGGGGCTCAGATGCACCTAGCAAAGATTGCTGAGTGTCTTGGCTGCATCACATTTAAAGCTGAGGGATGGCTGGGGGGTAGAGATGGCATTAATTTAGAGCAAGTGAGGAGGGAGACAGTTCCATTTAGTCTCTTAAACACACTAATGCACAGTCAAAATGATTCATGGTGCAGAAGAATTTGAGGGCAGAACGATAATGATACGTGATCAGAATAACTAGATGAAGCCACCCGGGAAAAAAATGACAGGCAGGGTTAACATTACTGATGAGGCACAGCACAAACTGGCCTTGGTGTGATCTTTCAAAAAGC